TATATTTTTCTCAATCCATGACAAACAAAAAGTCTTTCTTCTGGTCTGTCCTTTCCACCTATCTTAATTCATTATCCACCTCAGTTAGTTTACTTTTGTCTCCCTGTTTGTTGGGTTGGTTGGTTTTTTTCTCCTCTGTGAGTTCTTTTCTCTGTATATGTGTTCTTTGAAGCTTTCCTGTTCACCCAGTTTTCCCAACTATTTCTGTCCCCTTCTGTGATTCTGATCTCTTCCTTTTTTTCAACCAAGTACTGTTGGTTTCAACCAACCTCTCACAGTCTTGGCACTAAATTCCTTGTTTGTAATCTTCATTTTCTTTCCCTTAGATCTGTTTCATCAGCTGTGTATCTTCTGTTCTCAGCTTTCTGATCTGTTTATTCATTACAAAGTGCCAAAATTAAAACCAAAACAATCATAAATACAAGAAAACTCCATGAATTTTGAAACAGGCTGCTTTAGGGACAGGAGGGTCATTCTTTAAAAGTTTATCTTTTCTTCCCATTTCCTCACTTCTCCCTCCTCCCCCCCACCAGTCCTTTATCTGATGCTCCCAGCACTTATCACCCTGGCCTTTGGTTTATTTCAAATCTAATTTTATTGCTTAGAGGGCATAGCTGTTTTTGCTTGTAAGGAAGCAGATCTTCCATCTTTCGTATTCATTATGCAGGTTGGAATAGAGCCAGGTTTATCTGTGCTACCTGTTTATCTCGGTAACACTTATTACTGGAGAAAGGAGTAAGTGGGGAGAATAGCTCCTCTTTCTCTCATTTAGAGGCAGTGTATGCCAGTAGCAATGCTTCAGAACAGTCTTTCCTTATGCAGAATTCTGCAAAATAGAAGATGTCTAACTAGTAGAAGACTTTTTTTCATTATATGAGTAACAGAGTTTCCAAAGGGTCAGCATTAGTGAATGTAAATTCTACTCTTTGTCAAAGAGTTGGAAGACGACCAAACTGAGAGTGAGGGTATAATTTGGTCTTTCCCCCCTACCCCCCCCCCTTCTGTATTAGCAGGCATATAAGAAACAATTTAATCCTCATTACATTTTAAAGACTAAGCTGCAGTTGCTCAGAAGCTGTTCAATTATTCCTTCTGCTGGAGTAAACTTCAGTCAAAGGAGGAGGCTAGGTGTCTGGGGTTGGTTTCCACGTTAACATCTGGCTTTGCTGGTGCTTGAGTCAAAGCTCACAATTGTCTCCCTTCTTCTTTACCTTCAACTTCCCCTCCTCTCTTCCCTCACCCCTCCCAAACCACGTAGTTGGTGTAGTTTAGCTGCTGGTGCATCTTTGGGGTGGAGCCTCAGTTTTACTCCTTTTCACCTATAAAAAATAAGAAAATAAGTTTTGTTCCCTGCACTCCCTACCCAGTTTGGGATCAGATGATGCGTGTAGCTCACAGCGGAGAGTAAGCTGATTTTTCATACTGCCTTATTTCCTTGAACAGCCATGCTATGTTATCTTTCATCTCTTTATGCTCTCTGTAGTGTATGTCTTGTAACCTTTTTCCTTTTGACACAGAATTCGGGTTTTGTCCTAAGTCCTTTCTATATAATGATGATCTTATTTACAGGCAAAGTACTTCAACTTTCTGACTTTCTCGGTAGCCAGCATGGTAGCAAGCATTTGTAACATCTCAGTGATGTGCTTTTCAGCTTTTCCAAGAAGGAGGAACAACGGAATTCAGAAGAAAAACTTCTCTAGGGTGACAAGCTTGGCAGCTAACTGGAATGTTGGAGCTCAGAGCTGCTTTGTCAAACACAAAAATCAAAATAAAAAGGGTTATAAAAATGAAGTGACTTAACTTCTCTGGGACGAGTGGGAAGAGGACACCAAAAAGCAAAACTAGAGCAGTTAAGCAGTAATGCAAACACTACCATATGAGTTGTATTTGGGGAAATTGCAAAGAATTATTATATAAAAGGTTTTCGTAGTGTGAGCACACAGTGATGTTACAGTTTGGCTAGAAGAAGCTATCTGTCCAATCTCATTCAGTTTCTGTGTTTCTGAACTGTTGTATGTTTTTTAATAATCTGTACAGTTTAAAGAGAAGATATTTCATGTCCTAAATCCAGCAATAAACAAAGGTATAAAAATTTAACTGATGTGGTTCCTGATATCATGCAGAATGACATTATAAGAAAGAAATTCCAGAATAACAAAATGAGAACTGGTCTTCCTGTGCTTACCTGGTATTACCTTATCATTAACATGCTAGGTTGTGATCTTAGAAACTTGTTAAATATGGATATTTGTGATTTCTGGCATTGGCAAATCCATTTTCTTCCCTTCCTTGCAGTTGATTAAACGTGCAAAGTATTCTGAAGTATTTCCTGAAATGTGTAATCTCGTGATTGTGGATGAACTGTTAACATAAGTCTAAAAACCTTTTGCTATGTTGAACAATTTACATAAAATTGGAGTTTAAACTGATAGAATAAATTACACTTGTGAATGTAACTTAAGAGTATCATTTACTGTATGAGCCTACATGTGTTTGGAAACATTGCTGCCTTCTCTGGTAGAGAAAGGTTTTGAGGTTTTTATTATAATATGCGATATTTCCGTTCTTTGGTAGAATAAAATACATTTATCTTTCTTTCATACTACGAACAAGTGAATTGTACCTGCAGTTTCAGGTTTCACTGCTGTGTTGCCAGAGGAAAATGTATTTTTTGTCTCCTAAGTAGTAGACAGGTGTTGAGTAGACATCAAAGTGATTTATTTGTAGGAAAGATTCCCTTTTAAAGTTGTCTGGCACAGTAGAATCTTGATAGGAATTAGGAGTCTATAATATAGAATATGTTCTCGATTTAAAGAGGTGAATATAAAATCCCCATATATCACTCTCTGTTTCAGAGCAAAATATAAAGCACCTCAATGTAAAACACCTCAGGAAAAATACACTGCTGTTCTGAAGCTATTCCAGATCAGTGTCTGACAGTGACACCATTGTCTCAATTTCTCACTGGCCTGCAGCTTGTCTGCACAGAGCAGAGCAGTGTGCTAAATGTTCAGCACAATTCTGGGGGTTGCACAAGTATGGCTTCATCAACCATATTTAACAACCAGTGCCTACAATTACAGAGCAAGTTAGTATAGGAGTGGATTTTATTCTTCTCCTGGTTTAGTTTGACAGTAGTTGTTTCACTACTGTCAATAATCTGAGTCTTCCATGGGGGTAAAAAAAAAAAAACAACAGGTGGACTTGAAATTTGTAGTTGTTTTTAACAAGAAAATGAGCCAAACAGCATTCACCAGATACAAAGGAGAACCAGTTTTAACTGGATTTCAGATTTGGTTTGGGGAAAAACTGTGGAGACCAGAAACAGGTTATTTTAATTGTGACTATGTCTCAGAACATCTCACACTTTGAGGAACTCTACAAGTGGTAAAACCAGTGAGATTACACACACCCACAGTAGTTTAAATATACAAAAAGGTGCACAAGGCAGCTAACTAGTGATATTTGGTCCATAAAAAGAGAAACTTGGCTTTCTTTCAGAGGTTTGTTTTTTTTTTTTCTTAACCTAACACTTTGAGGCTATGTATCTACATTTCATATTAACAGTGAAGTTTGGTTAGAATGAAGTGTTCTCAGCTTCAGCCTGTTTTGCAGTTGAGATGACATGAAGGGCCTTCTTTAGAGGAGATAACACACACAATTTTCACAACCTGAAGCAAAATCCTTCTTGTAACTTACTTTTTTTCATCCAGAAAGCATGAGCAGCTGGATGGGGGCGTGCAGAGTGAGAGGAGTTTGGAACAGAATGTCTTAAGCATGTAAATGGTCATATTTGTGAGCAAGAAACAGCAGTCTCTTTCTGAGAAGGTTAGAATACAGATTCTATACCAAGTGTTTTACAACATTCAAAACAAGAAAAGTCATGCAAAGGTAAAATGTAAAAAACCAAAGATCCTTAGTAAAACACTGCCCCATTTTAAATATGAGTAAAATTTGGACGACGAGTGAAGACACCAGATGGTGGACATTCTCAGGAGTAATAGCCCTCTGTTTTGCTGTTGGCTTTTCAACAATGGGAATTTTCTTACCATATAAGAAACTTGCTTGTTGTCTCTACCATTGCTTGGGGGGTGTTTATGATGTACCATAAAAATGGAATGAGCACATAGGTTTGTGTGCATATTAAATTCCATTTGTAAAACTGAAGTCTCAAAAGGAGGTTCTGATAGAGTAACGTGTCAGTGCTTTGACTTGCTTAGCATAGTCTTCATTCTGTTTTTTATTCTGCCACCCCATGGGCCAATATCTGTTTAACCACTTGATAGCTGTGAACACTGTTAATGAAATTAATGGTAAGTTTTTATCTTTGTTGATATTTCAAACTTACTAATTTTCATTGAATGCTTACCCAATGTCTTCTGGAGAGCCACTATATTTGTAAGAGAAAGTGTGCATTAAATTATAAAGATGGCTGTAAAAAAAGCTGTTGCTGGTAGACAAATAAATAGTGAATCTTGCACCAACTGTTGCCTCTGTGTTAGCGGAAGCAATTGTAAACTTTCTAATCACAGTTTATCTGTGTGTATGTTTGAGAGTGCTAAGACAGGGAAGCCTTTTCAGTCTGTAGCTAAACTGATAGCAGATCTGGTGAGGTAGTATTAAACCATTATATGTAACTGTTAAAACAATACGAATGGACCATAAATCTTGAATACAGGTATTACTAATAAACACTGATGTAAATGGCTCAATAAGCAGATGAAGTGCCAAATACCTGTATCTTAATTTACCATATGGAGGAAATGGGAAAGCAGGCATCCCAGAGTAAAATTACTCCTTGCCTGTATGTTTGTAGAAAAATACTGTAGTTATTCAGCTTTATAATATTAAGTGGTTAATGTAGAGAAGTTCAAATTAATGTGAATAAAATTTAAAAGTACAAAACTATACAGATTTTAAGAAATGACATCTATATAGGGCATTTGTACTGTCTATAGTTAATAGTTTATATGCCCTTAAAACAGGTTGTGGAATACAAGCCAACCATATACTTGTTATTAGGCCTATTTTAACTGAATTCAAATCCAGCCATTTCTGTCCTTGTCATTCTTTTATCTCCATGAACAAATGGCATTCTTAGCTCTTACTTTGTAACATCACTATTGAACACACTGGGTTATTCTTCAGATTTATTGCTGTTTTGTTAATTTTGTCATCTATTCCTTTCTTTTTGGAATAACAGATAATAGAGAATAGCTGGCTTGTGTACTTGGTCTTGTGACAAAAGTGTGTGTACTGAAATTCAGCGATTTTTTTTTTTTTTTTTTGTCTTTTAATCTTCAGATTTCCTGTTTAAATTCTTGGTCATAGGAAATGCTGGAACTGGAAAATCCTGTTTACTACACCAATTTATTGAAAAGAAATGTAAGTATATGTGAGCATGGTAAAGAGTTCTCCATTGCTTTGTACCAGAGATGAAGGCTCTGCCTACATGAGTATCTATTCTTTGTATGGAAGTTCCTGTAATTCTTTTCCTTGTATGGGTGAAGATTTTGACTGAGAATTATGTTCACAACCATGCTGTAATCCTTATTGCTCACTGCCTCTAATCAAAAGCCTGATACTGACCAGTATTCCCTCTTACTCTCAAATAAATATAACAGTATGTTGATGAAAATACAGACTTAATTTTTTGTGATAATTGTATCTTGCAGCTATAAGCTTCCCTAGGTGTATAGTGGAGACTTGGCTTTTCTAGAAAAAATACTAAGTAGATGAAAGAAAAGTTGAATTGCTTGAGTAGATTTAGAAAGCCTGCAGTCTCTTTCTAAATAAATAGATACTCTGTGTTCTTTGTTAAGGACTGTGTTTTATGATAAATACTGGTAAAGAGACTCCATTGTAAATGTTAGTGCATTTAGCATCATGATTAAAGAAAAATAAGCATTTTTAGAATCCTTTGTAAATCTAAGGTGACTGTTATCTTTTGCAACCGAATGGTAATTTACTCTATCTCTTGAGGAGTAGCTCTAGGATAAGAATGTGTAATCACTAAAGAACATGGCATGATACTATGATTGATCTTCAACTGAGAATCTGTGATAGCAACAGTGTACATAAAACAAGGATCTTCATGCTTTAAAGAAGTAGCTCTTGCTTATTCATGGGAAGACTGTGTCCTTGTGTGTTCTGCCATTCCATGAATTTTAATTTTAAATGGCACTGAAATATCAGAAAACACGATGAGGAAAAAAAAGTGTACAAAAGTTACCTTGCCATCTATTAACGTGACCTGGGAATGATTTAATTAAGGCAGCCATTTCTAACAGTAATTTTGAATTGAATTAACTCTTCAAATTTGCAAGAACATTTCTGCATGGTGGCAGTAGAATTCTGAGTGGCACTGAATTTGGTGGCTCGGGAAGCAGTTTGTAATTGGAGCACTGAGAAGTTTTGATTTTACATCAGTTGGATTATGTAAAACCTATTTATTCACTCTAAATAAATTTTGCTTTCTTTTTTTTTTTTTTTTAGTCAAGGATGACTCAAATCATACTATAGGAGTGGAATTTGGTTCGAAGATCATAAATGTTGGTGGTAAATATGTAAAACTGCAGATATGGGATACAGCAGGACAAGAAAGATTCAGGTACCCTTTTCAATCATTTTCTTAAGTGTTCATTAGTGAAATGTTGATGTTGGTATTGTGTATTATTTATGCCTACTTACAAGTAGGACATAATGACATAGATCCCTTGATTTCTGTAAAACAATGCTGTCTTGCACATCTGAGGTTCTGCCCTTTCTTTTCTTGGGTATTTTCTGTGGTGGTTAAGGTACATGAACAGAACACGTGGCTAAAAGCTTGTTCACCAGCCAAGGTCCGAATAGAACAGTGTGTGCTTAACACTTGTGTTTAGAAGACCTACTGGTGGGAAGAAGAAAATGCCAGGAAGTTGTAAGCTGTTTAAAATCTGCATGAGAACAAATTCATGGTGTAATATTACTTTATTAGAAGGAATAAAGTCAGTTGTCAAGTTCATGTTGCTAAATACACTTCCAGCAAGGTAGAGATCTTTTACACAGCTTTTTCTTTAAGAAACTTATTTGTCAGCATAGATCCACCAGTGTAGTTTTAATGCTGTATTTTGAATGTTATACATCTGAGGAATAGATCAAACTCTGTGAAGTTTGAAGTATTCCTGAGTACATTCACCATCGGATAGAACATCAGGTTTTATATTTTTGGGGTGTGGGTGTGAGGTTTCTTTGGCTGGGGGGCAGGTAGTGGTTAACAAAGGTGAGCATGATGGTGGAAGTCTGAGTAATGGGCAGCAATCCAAGTAAATGTCCTCTATTAGGCAAGTTCTTTAAAGACATTTGTGGGTGAGTGAAGCTGGGCGGTGCTATATAGTCTCTATTAATGAGATATCTTTGGTGCATTGGCCTGATATCCTAGGATTCAGAGGAGTTTGGAGGCTATGTACTTTCAAAAGCTTGTGCAAATTCTGCTCTTTCAAGTTGTCCTGCTTTCAGCTGGGATAGAGTTAATTTTCTTCCCAGTAGCTGGTGCAGTGCTGTAGTTTGGCTTTAGTCTGAGAACAATGCTGATAACACACCAATGTTTTAGTTGTTGCTAAGTGGCACTTAGCCTGATCAAGGACTACTCAATTTCCCGTGATCTGCCCCTGAGGAGGGGCGCAAGGAGCAGGGACACCTGAACCGAACTAGTTCAGAGTAGTCACAGGCTCGCAGGTTTTTTACCCCCCTCCCTGTTTCCTTTTTATAATATATCTAATTGTTTTCTTTTTAAGGCTATCACACATCTAGGTACTTAGCAGGGTTTTTTTTCTTCTTCTGCAACCTTTTGAAGGATGCTTTGTTTTGCTTTCCTTGCCTTTTTCTCTTAATGAGTCTTAAGTTGTTCAATTACAGCTACTTTGCTCATTCTCTCCTCACTGCTGAGAGTTCAAACACAAGTTAATTACACTGGTTTTATGCCACATCCCAGTTCTGTATCAGGCCATGCAGTATGATAATATGTGTAGCTTCAGCAGCACACAGGTCATAATGGACTTTGAGAATCCCTGTACAGCTATATTTAGTGAAAGTGCTTTGTCAAAAGTCTAGTTATAAATAGTCTGCTGCTGCACAGCTGATGTTTTCTGAAAAACAGTTTATTTAAACTATGTAAATGAGAAATGTGTTTCATAATACAGATTGTATTATGTTAACCCAGATTTGAAACAGTGAAGTTTTTATGGAAATGTACATCTGTAATTCTGTTTCAGGTCTGTAACAAGGAGTTACTATAGAGGAGCTGCAGGTGCTTTGCTTGTCTATGATATAACCAGGTAAGTAAGGTAGCAACTCTTCTGCCTATAGACTACCAGATACTATTAATGCATAATGATTCCTCCCCAGGTATGTGATTCTGTAACGACAGGAAGAAGTATAAAAAGTACTTCTGGTTTAGTGTGTATTTAAGTTTTGGAACTTGCCTATGTGAGATATTGTGAATGTCATAAATGTAAACAGTCTCAAAGGGTTAGACAAATACCTGGGAGTTGGCCCATCAGTAGATGGTCTGATCATGGTGGACTACATGCAACCACTGGCTCAGGAAGCCTTGCAACAGAAACTAAGAGCAGGCTTGTGTACCACTTTAACCAAGGTAATACACTGTTTATTGGTATTAGTAGTTATTGGTATAACAGGTCATTCTCTGGAGAAGCTAGCTCTACTTCACGTTTCTTAACTGTAGCCTGAAAGCCTGAAATGAAAATTCTGTTCATTTGTGTATCTTTTAATATTTTAATAGAGGCAGCCAATAGAATACCTTACATATTGCCAGCTTTTTTCCTTGCCACTGTAGACTAATACTTGTCAGATAAGTTTTGTATTCATTAAAGATGATTTGCTAGATCTGTTGCCTTTTTTTGTCCTGTGAGTGGACTGCTCTCCTCTGAACAGTCTTTGAAATCTGTGATTTGTGATTAAGGTCAGTTGGACTCATCTTGTCAGTCTTACTGCTTGAAAGCTTTATCTCTGACCACTGCTGCAATGACCAATGGTGTGTGCAGGGTAACTGCCTGGTATATTATTGGTCTTGACACAGATGTGAAAGTTCAGGCATTCAATTCTACACGAGCATAGTAAATCCTTACAATCCCACCTGAAACTTAAGTGTCAGTCAAATTTCATGTTAAACAATAACTCATTCTGTTATCCCAGAATTTCATGCACAAAAGGCTGAAACTAGATTGGTGCTTAAAATCATAGCTTTTCACATTACCTGAGTATTTAATAATTATGTGTATTGATTTCTATATTGTGGTCCATTTAATTTTGCTTTTTAAAAACTAAGTTTTTGAATAGTTTCATGATGGAACTTGATACTTTTCCCAGTTCATAGCTGACGTATTGAGCTGTGTAGATGACGTGCCTGACTAGCAGCTGTTTGTTATTTGCCACAAATACAGATTTGCCTTCCTGAGTTTTAGTGAAATGTGAGTTCACTAAATAGTGATCTGTTCACAAGAAATGAGTGTTTTCTAATAAAGAATGTTATTTTCCACATAGCCGGGAAACGTACAATGCCCTTACTAATTGGTTGACGGATGCAAGAATGTTAGCAAGTCAGAATATTGTGATAATACTGTGTGGAAACAAAAAGGATCTTGATGCAGATCGTGAAGTTACCTTTTTAGAAGCATCCCGGTTTGCACAAGAAAATGGTAAGTAGTACAAAATCTTCGTGTAGCATTCAAAGATTCATAATACTTAAAATTGTATAATATATACAAAATATAATTTTATT